GGGTCTGGCAGCCGGGCTGGGAGCTGCAGCCAGGGCTTTCGGGTGCTGCGGAGGTGGAGTGCCCAGCAGTGGAGGGAGGGATCCTGGCCCAGGATCCGCACCCTGCTGTGCTCAGTGCCGGGCTGCCCACATGCGTTGCCACCTCCCCGCCTGTGGATCTGTCCCCGGGGGTCACGGAGGGAGAAACCTCTCTGGCAACCACCCTCAGACCCAGCTCTGGGGCTCCAGCAGCTGTGATGCCCCTGTCTCCCCATCCTCCTCATCTCGCCACCCTCCCAGGCTGCCTGGGGTGGCACAGAGGTGGCAGGGATGCCCGAGTCTCCAGTGCTGCCTGTGACCATTGGGAACCTCGTCCCTTGGCTTGGCTGGGCTGCCCAGCCTTGGGCTCTGGGCACTCTGCCTGCCTGGAGCAGGGCTGGAGCCAGAGCCCAGGGTGACCTTGCACCCCTAGGCTGCCCTGCTCAGTGGGCAGGACCAGGACCCCTCTCCCATCCTTCCCGGGCTCTCTGAGGGAGACCCAAGGGGCGGTTGCCCATGAACCACAGGGAGCTGGACACAGGCTTCTCCAAGGCAGAATAATTTACTGTGGTGTGGCTGGGCAAGGGGTGCCCGGGCTGGGTCTTGGCAGGGTGTGGGTGGGGGATACAGCAAGGCTGGTCTAGGGGGCTTGGAGATGGAGCCCTGCCTTGAACATCTGGGATGGAAAGGGTGGAGGACCCCAGGCTCTGGGCACTTGGTCTTGGTCGGGACAGTCTGTGGGGCAGGAGCCTTGGATGAGGTGGGACTCTGCATGGGTGGGATGATCCAGGGCTGGGGCGCAAGCTTGAGGCAGGGGTGTAGGATGATCTAGGGGGGCTGAGGGCCTGGGACATGTCATCAGGGAGCTGGGCAGGGGCCACAGGGGTGCAGGGTAAGGGTCTCGGGTGCAGCCAAGAGGTCCCAAGAGGGTCAAGCAGAGATCCTAAGTGCAGGCAAGGGTCCTTGGGGTGCTGGGCAGGGGGCTTGGGGGTAGCCAAGGGTCTGTGGTGCATCGCAGGGCTTGTAAACATGCAGAGCAAGTGTCCTGGGTGCAGCCCAAGCTCCTGGGTGTTGGTCCTGGGAGCAGGACAGGAGTCCCAGGGGTGCAGAGCAGGGCTCTCAGGAGGGGGCAGGGTTCCTGGCTGTGGATCAAGGCTCCCACGAGTGCAGCTAGGAGTGCAGAGCAGGGTCCTGGGGCACAGCCGAGGGGCTGAGCAGAGCCAGGGTCCTGGGGTGCAGCCAGTGCTACCAGGGGTGCAGCATCAGGCCAGTGCAGGAGGAGTTCTGGGACAGGGCAGGGCGGGCAGAGCCCTAGTGCTGCCCGGCCCCATAGAGCAGGGGGTGGTAGAGGGGGCAGGGGTAGGAGAACATGAACTTGACAGCGAACTTCATCTCCTTGTTGTGCTTCTGCCAGGGGTAGATGGCGAGGAGGAGCAGGCGGCCGCCCACCTTGCGGCCCATCACCAAGTTCAGCACCTTCTTCTTCTTCTGGGCGGCCACCAGCCGCCGCTCCCCATTCTCCTCCGTCATCTCCTTGATGCGCATCTTCACCACTGTGTGGGGCAGGGTTAAGGGGGGGGTACTGCTGTGGGGCACTGCTGCAGGGGTCAGGGCTAGGCACTTGTGTGGGACAGGGTGCAGCCTGTCCCTGGGGTGGGACCTTTAAGGGTCTCTGGGGAAGTTACTGGGTGGGGAGGGGAAGGGGCTGCTGGGGGGGTGGCGAGTGTTCAGTAGAGGTCTCCAGTGACCCTCCCGAATGTCCCGTTCTGCCTGTACCCCCACCAATGTCTTCTGCTCTGGTGCACCCATCCCATGCACACAGGGTCCAAGGGAAGGGCTCGGGGGGTTCTCCCATGGGGCTGTCCCTGGAAAACCGTGCCCTCCAGCCAACCCCTGCCTGGGCTGTCGGAGCTGGGGAGGGCAGCCCCTTGTCCAGGGGGGTGCCTGGAAGGGGACCCCAGTACTCACCGAAGTCGCTGGAGCACATCTGCTCCATCATGCCGTCCGCCTTGTGCTCCATCTCGCACTGGGTGCAGATCTTGGACACTGCAGTGACAGACCAGCCACTGTCACAGCTCCCTGTTGCTGACGCCTGTCACCCAGGCCAGCTCTGCAGGGACATGCTGGGAGAGCCCCGGCAGCCCCTCTGCTCCCTGGGCAGCTGTGCTGGGGTGATGCCAGGGGCACAGCGCACCTCGCTGGCCAGCATCCCAGCACCCCCCTAGGAAGGAGGGGGTGTGGGGATGACCCCTCGTCCAGCTGCTGATGCTTTGGGGCACAGCAGAAGTAGCAGCAAGGGTGTCACAGCCCTGGTCCTGACGCTGGGCTGCCTTTGGGTGTTGTCCCCTCCACTGCCCAGGGGACAGCCACCCCGTGCCAGCTGCACGGGGCTGGTACCTACAGGTGCAGGATGCCTGATGCTCTTTGCTGCTGGGATGGGACCCAGAGGGAGGAGAGGGACACAGCTCTGCCGCGGGTCCCCCAGCACCTCCCACCTCGTCCCATGTTCACCCCCAGTGCTGCTCCGCTCTCCCCTGCCCTGGGGCAGCTCTGTGCAGGCAGCTGGGTGCCTGGCTCCCCAAACAGCAAGGGGTGCCCAGCCAAAGCAGCCAATGCTGCTGGTACTGCACCCCCAA